GGCTCGTTAACTTATCGAACGAAATTAACGAGCCGAACACGAGCTTCTTAACGAATCGAACACGAGCTGTTCGCGAACAACGAGCCGTTTTGACAGCCCTATTTTTGGGAGGTGACAAGTGGTATCAGAGCAGATTACTGTCTACCAGGTGTGTGTACTCTCCATGGTCTAGTGAGACCATCGGTGGAGTGAATTCGTGATGAGAGTTTCAAGTGATTAGGTGGAGTAGAATGTCATGAATGAAAAGTCCAAAAAAAATAGGATTTAAGTCATGAGCTAAGAGTTCTTTTCGGCTGGGAGGAGACAATAAGCTATTAAATCAAAAAATAAACGAGCATAAAGTAGTCTTCTTGCATCCTGAATCCGTACCTTCTACCTGCGTCTTACAGTTACAGATGGCTTCAGCCCTTCTTCCTCTCTCGCCCATCCTCTGGGTGAATTCACTGTCTCCGTTCACGGAGTGGGTACGCGGTTCGAGGATCCCGTTTCGGTCTCTTTCCTTGAGAAACTGGTCGACGAAAGTAGGAAAACAAGGCAGAACTACAGTTCCGATTTGCGGTGCGGCTCCCCTCGTCTTCCATAACCTCGAAGCTGATGATTTCCGGCATCCCTTAGACAAGCAGGTATCCTGCTGCAGCCCTTCGTTTCCCGCTGCTTCGTCTGACGTGCTATATTTGTTTGGCAATCCCTTCTGTTTTAGGTTTTTTCGATTAATTGGGCGTTTAAAGTGAGAATAAGCGAAGGAAAGAAAAATAAAGAGTTTCGTCTATATAGGGATTGTTTTGTTTATCTACCAAAACGAGCATAAACGCAAGGAAGTAAATAATATCAATCAACTTTAATAATCTTCACACCATCCTCGGGAAAAAAAAAAGCTGGCTCACAATATTTGATAGGTTATCTTAATTCAAAAATTTTCCCAACATTCCTAACCTATTCATGTTTCTTCTATGGTCTAATTAATGTTTAATGGGTTAATGAGGTACAAATAAGTCATACATATATGAATTTGTTTTATTTATGTTAATTGATTACAATTAGGGTGTTATGTTAATTTAGTTATAAATTAATTAACTATATTATTTTATCGTTCTTGGTTGTTAAATTATATAGTGGATTTCTTCTTTTATTTAAGCTCAAATCATGAATGTAATGAATACTTTTCTTTTCTCATGGTCTCTGTTTGGTTTGCAGGAATTAGAAGAAAGAAAATGAAAAGTTAATACTAAAGGAATTGACTTGAATGTAAAGATTAGGTGAAATTTAATGTAAAGATATCCTTTTTTTTCTTGTTTTGTTAATGTGAAATTATGCTTTTTGTTTCTTGTTCTCACAATAATAATTCAGTTAAGTTTTCTTCCTGTTTTTCACTAGGGTTGGGCATGAATTTATCAACAAAAAAATTGGATTTGATCACATTTATTTGATCAGCTGAATTTCTTTCTATTTACATTTAAGCCATCTATCCAATCCGAAATTTAAAAGTATAATGCGACCTTACATTTTTGTTAGACCAAACATGTCCTAGGCGATCAATTGAGTTTTGGCCAATTTGAGCTCAAATTAATTTACCCACAAAATATTGCAATCTCACCGAGATAGAGCTCTAGTCCAATCCAACCTCATGTTTTTTCTTCGTGCTCAAACATAATTAAGTTTGGCCTTTCTCGGCTTGGTTCCATTATAGTAGACTTTTGAAGGTATTTTTTAATTATGCAATTATTATACATATTTTACTCAGTATTTCAGTTATTTAATATGAGTTTTGAAAAATACACCCTGGTACAGTTGAACTATGATCACACTTTTATTTGAAATTTCATTGCATTTATACATGTTACGATGGTTCATTATTTTATCGATTTTTTCTTATCATTTGAAATATGCAATTAATTATCTAAATAATTCTCACTCTATAGAATCTACTAAAACTTGCATTTTTGTGCTTTTATAGACCATCTAGTTCTAACTAAATTATATTTCTGTGAACCATTCTGCCGTTGAAACTTGCAACCTTGTGCCTTTGTAATCTTTAAATTGTAGTATTTGTCATAATCTCTTAAACAAATTGGGAAAATTGCATGAATTGCGCTTGATTGGGGGCTTAATTGCAAAATCTGACCAAACATGAGGCAAGCTTGAGCAAAAAGAAAATTGAGCCTATAAATATGGGTCAAGCACAAACCTTCACAAGAATCAGCTCAATTTACCCAAGGAGCATTTACATATATAGCACACAATTCTTATATATTAACATATCTCACACCTAAATTTTCTTATTTACATAGATAACACTCAGATATTTAATATCACATAAAAAATAGCACTATTACCGCTTTTTAAGCTTGAAATACACCTTTTCATGCATAGGCTTAAAGTACCAAAGTGCTATGTAGGTAAGTAAATTTCTCTTTACTGCCTGCGGTATAGAAATACCAATCAAAATGAAAATTGTTCTCATCTTTTCTTTTGTTTTTTGTTCTCATCACCCGCTACCTTTTTCACAGAGAGTGTGTTAGTATGTTTGGAACTGCAGGGGAGTTACCATATTGATCATACTTGTGTTGATTCTTTTCTCAGAACACTTTGCTTTTGAGGATGATTCCAGGACTGAATGAACTAGTCAAAGCTTTGTTAGGTAAACAGTGACACGCTACTACTGAAAATTCTATTTTGGTATTTTATTTTTTATTTTTTCCATTCAAGCGATAAGTTATTAATATCACAATACATATGTACGCCTGAAAATTCTGTGAAAAGTGTTTCCCTTTTTTTATTTCAAAGATGGATGGCGAATTCTTTTTGGCTAATCATTTTTATGCTGTGAATTCTATTGCACCCTTACAGCGGACAGTTTTGACAATCATCAGTAACCTGATTACAGGAAAAAAACTTTACAATAATATTTAAGTATAAGCTATAACTTCTCATAATGATGTATTCCTTTTCGTTAAAATTCTTAGCCTTCAATCTTGGTGATCCAGCAGAAGTGTGTGCATGTATGATGGAAGTCCAAGGGAGGAAAATAAGTCAGGATGGAGAATTACTGGTGGAAAGAGTAACCTTTAAAGCATCTTTTCCTGATACTATTTTGTCATAGAATGGTAGACGATACTAAATAACAGTTAAAATTCAAATTTTAATGTTTAAAATGCAATTGTGCACATTTTTTTGCGCTTAATTAGCCTTTGTTGGCACATTGTTTTCATCCTTACCTGCAAATTCAATTGTCTCTAGGTATCAAATCTCACACATCATACAGTCTAAAGCTACTACCCTAATTTTGTTTGTTTTTGTTCTCTAGTTTTTGTGCCTGTCACTTGAAGAAGTAAAAAGAATTTTAAAACGTGGGATTTGAATTCAAACCCACCAAATAGTTAAGATAAAGCTAATTATGCTGATTATTTAAGCCCGAACTCCATTCAAGCTTAATACTCAACAAAGCATTTATATATTTTATCTTCTTTTATTATATTTATTATTCACATTTAATTAGATATGAGGTATAATGATGAAATCACCCTAGGTTTCACCAAGCTGCACATGATTCACTTGTTTCTTAATCCTTTTAATGCTATATGAATCTTGTTAGGCTGTTTAGTATCAGTCTACTTTGCTGCAAAGATTTGATATCGAGTAAATTCAACTTTGCAAAGATTTGATATCGAGTAAATTCAACTTTTTCATATACCTTGCTACAAAGGACGGCTTTGCTTCAGAAGTTTTTGGTGTATACCTTTCTTTGTTAGATCATATTAACCTTTTAATATCTTTGGTTCAATATAGTGAGATTCTTTGCCTTAATTTTGTGAATAGAGTCAATATTATGTTGCAATGATCTTTCCATTAATATATATGTATTTTGATATATCCTATTGAATTGGGCTATGAATATGTGCAATCTGCCTAATGGAGTTCGCTAACGATGCTCTTAGAAACTAATTTTGCTTGTGCTATTTTTTTGTGACAATATCACAAATGAATGTTTCGTACGTGTTAAGTATGAGACATCTGATGTTGTTGTTATTCGCGTTTCATCTGTTTACTACCCTGAAATTGGCACATAACGTGTCACGGTAGATCTTTCCATCATCAATGAAGTTTCCCTTATGCACCTTAGGAATGAAGTTGTTATCATCATCTAACGTTTTTTTAATCTCATTGGTCTATGCGAATTAATCTCTTCAACAGTGCTTGTAGTATATTGATTTCCTTGTCAGGAATATTGGCATCGATTGGAAGTATTTGATTGCATGTAGTTGGTGATAACTGAGCAAGTAATTTCTCTATTTTCATCACGTTGGGATTGGTAATCTTCCCATTCTCATTGAGACGTTCTTGAACTTCAGGAAGCAACTTTCCCACACTCATGGTGGTAAATAGTTATAAAAACCAGTCACTTTTCCGTTCTTTGAGGATTCTCCATGAACTTGAAGGATTTAATGAAGTACTTTTGCGGTTAAGTTGCGATCATCAAAAATCTTGATTTGTCGATTTCAACTACAAGATGATTAATTCCATATTTATTTATTAGCTGTTGCATTTTTCATGACTGTGATGCATGAACCATTACGGTGTGTTGGTGTTGGACATCAAGAATGACTAAAGATGCAAATGAGGCAAGCTAACTCAATATTTTGTTGACGAACATGGCTTGTCGAGCCAAGTCAATATCTCTAGTCATGCATGTTACCATCTTTCTTGTTCGCTTCTTTCACCCACTCACCTTCATTTCTTCTTTTCTTATCCACATTCCCCATATTTTTCTTTATCCTCTCCTTCCATTCTTTGGGAAGGATTCCAACATTTCCTTGTTTACTTTTGCCAATACCATCACTAAGGGTGTGTACTTTGCGGGTACAATAAAATTGAGAAAAATTGACACTATCATGAATTGCACCATAACCTATGAGAGATTTATTTTAGCTGTAGAATGCTGCTACAACAATAACAACAACAACAACAACAAGCCTTTATCCTACTAAGTGGCATTTGCCATTTGCTATATGAATCCCTTTTTCTTGAGAGAAAAATATAATGAGAAGATCTATATTTCATTTTACGATAGCCTAACAAACACTTCAAAAAAATGAGAAAACATTTTAGTTACAAAAATGGAATCACCTAGTACCTGGAGGAAATCGAATATTCTCTTAAAACTATGAGGTGATTCCATGAAAAGTTTTGGCCATGTAATATAGCATATTAGTTATGAATGTATATCTTAAGAGTATGAAGGAAGCAATAAAAATAAATTATGTATCTAGGATTGTGGTGGTATAGTTGTAAAGGTGAGAAATTGTCAAAATTTCAATATAAGTGTCTAAGACAAGAAGAATGATATTGGAGTTAACCCAAGCAACAATAAGGAAATAATATTATTCATGAAAAACAAACCGCTAGGCAGTATAACATAATGAAAGAGAAACACCAACTACAAGTACACAACAATCTCAACTAGAGTTGTATCGTGAAGGTGGTGGTTGGTGAAAAGGCGGCGATAAACTAACAATAGGATGAGTGTATGATAGGAAACAACATTTGATGTTGTGTAAAGCTTGTGGTGGATGCTGGAGTGGGAAGAGGTGGCTGGCGGCTAGGCTGATAGGGAGGAGGAGGGCTGGCCCATGAGGTGCAGCAGGTAGGGTGGGGATGGGTTGGGACAATAGGTAAGAGGCCTGGACTTAGACCTGGTCGAGAGTAGGCAACAAGGGTTTTGGAAGGGGCAGCTGACTGGAGAGTGGAAGGTAGCTGTAGAGGTTGGGTTGCAGGAATCAGGAAAATGGAAGATGCACGTCATCTTAGGATGAGTATAGTAGGAGATGCCAACTGCTATCCTTACATAAATCTGAACAAAGACTAAAACTTTAAGACAAGGGAAACACACATATAAACCCTAGATAGTTAGGATTGGATCCCCCAATAGAGAGGAAATGGCAGACTACAGTGGAAGGGTTGATCGCCCAGGTCTGAACTGGTTTGGTTCAGATGAAGGAAGGGCGAGATATTTCCCGCGGCTCCCATTTTACACCCACGTCAGTCTCTAAGGGTTGGGGGAGCTTCGGCCTTATTCGTCGAAGCTTTTGAGCCCTCATAGTATGAAGTCAAGTTGCCACGTTGAAGGTAACATAAATATTGTAATCCCCTAACAAGTTGATCTTGTGGACATTGTCATTTAGCTTCTTAAGGATCCTAAAAGGTACATCTACTCTGAGTTTGATTTTTCTAAACAATCTCATGGGTTATCTCTCTTCTTCCAGTCTAATCCACACTAGATTTCCCTCTTGAAAAGTCACATTACTCCTAGTTAGTTTTATTAGCTTGTGCTTGGTACTTATGATTTTGTCTTGTGATCTCTTTCCCGACCTCCTCGTGTAGCATTTGAATCTCTCGTACCCCCGCCTCAGCATCTGTACTAACCTTCAACGCAGGAAAAGCTGGTACGGGCTCTAGTGGAGTGAGTGGATTGTGTTCATACACAATCTGAAAGGTGTATGCCTCTTAGTTTAACTCACAGACCTGTTGTAGGTGAATTCGACTTGGGTTAGAATCAATTTCATTGCTTGATGTTCTTTCATATAAAGCACCTCAAGTGGTTCCCTTTTAACGACTCCTGCTCACCACTTATGCCTAGTTGTTTGTCTAAAAACGAGGCGTTGAGCTGAATTGAAGTTTAGTATCAAACTTTCCTCACAGGGTTCTCCAAAAGTGACTTAGGAACTTGACGTCCCAATCAGATATAATGGTTGTGGGTATTTCATGCAATCTCATGATCTCCTTGAAGTATAAGTCAACATGTGATGCATCTAGTGTCCGATGGACGCCACAGAATGGGCCATCTTTGAGGACCATTAAACCACAATTATCACTAAATCTTTGTTTCGCTGCATCCTCAGAAGTCCCACCGCAAAATCCGTATGAATGTCCAACTAAAGAGCCTTTGGTATTGTTAATGGTGTGTATAGCCTTGTATTCCGCTCTCTGGTCTTGGCTAGGTGACAAACTCTACACTGTAGGACATATCGCTCCACATTTCTCTTCAGTCGGGGCAAAAAAAAAAAACATTTCTTCACTAGTGCGAGGCAGGGGTGTAAACGAGCCGAACTCGAGCGAGCCCAGGCTCGTGTTCGGCTTGTTTATATTTCGAGCTTAAAAAGTGTGTTCGTGTTTGACTCGTTTGCTTAGCTAGCCGAATACGAGCTGTTCACGAAGAGTCGTTTTGACAACCCTAATCACGTAACCATAAGATGTTAAGGGTTAGGGTAATATTTAAAAATTATTGTTTATATTAAAACATCATTTGAATCTAATTTAATAATTTTTATTCTATTTTCTTTATTAATACTTTTAATTGATTATAATTCTTTGTAGCCTTCTAGTCATTTAATTTTTTTTAAAAAATACTACTCATCTATATATATATATAATTGATGAGTAGTATTTGGAGCCAAGTTTCGAGCCAAAACGAGCCGGACACTAACAAACAAATCTTTGTTTGTGTTCGACTCGTTAACTTAGCGAACGAGTCCAACACAAGTTTTTTAACGAGCCGAACACGAGCTGTTCATGAACAACGAGCCGTTTTGACAGCCCTAGCGCGAGGTTCTTGTCTATTATGCCGAAAAGCCTTGATAGGTC